CCATTCCAAAAGATGCGTTCCAGCAGTGTTTCCAGCAATGGCAGGAACGCTGGGAGAAGTGTATACATTACCAAGGAGACTACTTTGAAGGGGATTAGGGTTTTGTACCTCAAAGTCAATAAATTTATTTTTGCCGACCAAAGGTCCGATACTTTTTGAACAGACCTTGTATATATATAATATATTAAATATATTATATATATAAGTTGACAATTGTGAAAATAAGAATCTCACAATTGAGCATGCAATACATTATTAGAACAATTATTTCTAATAATTGCAACTAAAAGTTCCCAAAGTAACTGTCTAACATAAAGCTATTTTGAGAAACTAAATAAAAATAATTAAAACAAATAAGGCACTTTCTAATTAAATTACTTAATTAAATAATACCTTAATTTCATTAGGCATATCTATTTAATTTTGAATATAAAAATTGTATATTTATTTAACACCATTTTACTATAGCAAACACCACTAAGTATACATTATAAAGAACATTTATTTATTGTTTCAAAATAATAGCAAAAAGCCATAATAATAATGTTTATATAAAATGAAAAATTACTATTCAGTTGTAATCATTTCAACTGTATTAAATCATAAACTATTTATATATAATAATTACCATTGTTTGCAATCAATTTTTATAGTTTCTTTTTCTTTATAGTTACGTTTTCCATGATGACAAGGACAATCTGACGGCTTAACACATGTTCCTGTAACTTCATTAAAGATATAACCATCCTGGCATCTGCAGAAGTTTATATATAACATAAAACTTATAATGTCTTTATTAAATTTACATTATATATATAAAATTAAAATTTACAAATATTTTAAGTTTACATGTCCATTTCCAAGAGTTCTTTTCGTTTTAAGAAAAATTAGACAAACATGTAAATAAGCAAAATTTAGCAATATCATATAACAATCCAAAAAATGTTTTAGATTATTTGAATAATCATCAGCTTTAATCAATGTATATAATAACTACATAATGAATTTTGTAATTATCATTCTTTACATATTGATAAGCTGATGATAAACTTTTCTTTGCTTGTCTTAAATAAGAATTACTACATTGTATCTTTAAAATTAGACAAAAATCTGTTAAAGCTGTGGTTCCTAAAGTGGGCACTACTGCTCCTGTGGGCGGTGAGTAAATCTAGGGGATAAAAAAAAGCAAGTGGGCAACAGCGGACACTGGAGGCAGGGTACTGAACGATAACCATAGACAAGAATTGGGGTCACTGACAACCTTATCCTTTCTCCGTTAAAACAGCTATGAAGAAATATTGCATTTAATGGTTTGCACATATGGAAAACAATGTACAGTAAGGACGCAGAGTGTGAAGTTCATAGGAAAGTTTCTTCAAGAATATTTCCAGGCCTTTTTCACACAAGGGAAAATGGATTAGGGGGCATTGGAGTACAATTGGGGGCATTGAATATGTCTATAGAAAGGCAGTGGCTCAAAAAAGTTTGGGAATCATTGAATTAAAGCAAATTTTAGGACTTTAAAAATAACTTAGTTGTAAAATTTCTCAATTTAACTCATTAAGTAATTTTGTTACAATATGAAGAGAATTTTGAAAAAAGAGCAATTAATAAAAATATTAATATATTAATGCTTTCCTTGAATCAATCAATTTCATTTTTCATTTAAACAACAATAAATATTACTGAAGGACTATAATTAATCAGCGGACCATGTAAGAAAATTTTGTAAAAATAAACAGTTTATATGTGAAGACACTTATCACTGTCTCCGTCAAACCACCCACACACACAAACACCCTTAGCTATTCCTGACACAAGTTAAAGTTAAGTCTTTTCCCCCTTTTTGTTGAGCTTACAATAGTAATCTGATATTTTTTCTTGATTTTTATCTTTTTCTTCTTGATGATGATTGTAAAGTTTAAACACTTGACTCTATTTCCAGGTCGAAGGAGTATACTGCTAGAGAGGTGTTGTTTCTATCATGTAGGGTGTCCGCTTTGTGTTTCTTGATCCTAGTTTCTAAGTTGTGTTTAGTGGACCTGATGTAGATTACTTTGCTGTTATCTCTATGATCGATGATGGGCACGGAGTATACTCCTGGAAGTCTGACACCCTACATCATAGGAACAACACTGCCCTAGCGATATACTCCTCCAACCCGGAAATAGAGCTGCTATTCCCTCTAGCCAGAATTATTCACATCCCTAAACATTTGAGTTTCTAAAAACTTTTTATTCTGAGAAAAACAGTTTTAATTAAATAAAACAACTTAATATATTAGAAAGTGCATTGTTAGAACATTTATTAAAATAATTTAATATATAATTAATTTCTATGCATTCAAAGCTAGAACTACTTAAAATAAGTAAGACAAAACCTTTGTACTTAGTGATTAAACTGCTAGAAACAAAGTTTGAAAGGTTTTGTCTTACTTATATAATTAATCTAATTATAGCAATTCAATTTGTATTATCAAAAAATCTTAGTTTTTTAAAGTTACAAATTTTATGAAAATTATTTACCTACATCCAGACCTACAAACAGATATAGTACAAGATGGACTTTCATGAAAATTTTGGCATGTTAGAGGACAATGTGAGATGCAATCAGTATATTCTTGATGATCTGCTGCTGAACATAATGGTGGCATTATTGAAGCTGAAGTCGTTACCATTTCCTCTCCTGTTGCTAGTCGACACTGCCATTGCCCTTTCACGCATAAACTAAATAAAAGCATATGGATTTATAAAAATAAAAAATATTGAATAATTAGCAAAAAATATTGAGATCCTTAATCAGTATAATATTTTTTGTAAAAATAAGCATGTTAAGATCAAAATATGTTATATTTAATCAAATACATTACTCAAACTGAAAAAAATTCAGTTTTGAATTATCTTCAATTTAAATAATGAAAACAGACAAAATGATATTGTGAGAGCCAAATTTGGTGAAGAAATTTTTGTTCAATTTATTTTTCGTTAAAGTTGTTTTGCTAAAATCTGCAAAGATAAACTATTTTCTCACAGACTTATTTCCTTGTTGAAAATGATACATCAAATGTGTCACCAGGAATCAATGAGTGAAAATGTAACTATTGGTCCCCATTGAGACCAATAATCACATTTTCATTAACAAAACACTAACATGACTTTGTTAGGAGGTACTAAACCTCTTAACAAAGTCATGGGAAAAACCCAGGAGGAGCCCCCGAATAAAAAGGAGGGATGACAACAAGTCGGAGCAGTTGTCATCAACCTTTTCCCTAAGTGTGTGTATTAACCAATTTCAGCCGTCGCCACTCACTGCCCTCACAAAAAGAAAAGGAACTTTCCTTCTTCCAGAGTCGCTGAGTCTTCATCAAACCAATCATTGATTCATTGAGTCTGGGATTACCACTTCCTAGGATCAACAAGTGATTAAGGTATTTACCATCTGATGAACTTACAGTGAGCTCGCTCTCTCTCGATCAGGGCCGCGTTAGGTATATCAATATATATATCTCTCTCCCTTTAGCAATTGTGCTAAGTGTCAAACTTTCTTTTAGCCATTGGGCTAAGCTTCTGAATGATAAAACCTTGTAACCAGTATCTTAACCTTGGTTGTTGAGAGTGAACGTTTAAAAATATCGTCCGTTTTCGATTGTGGTTTTTCGGTCATTGTTCGATCAATCGTGGTTAACTCGATACCGTTGGATTCAGGACAACGACAGCTACCTGTGAGTACCAATATTTTTAAAATCGGTCCTCAACTTTTGGTGATATATCCATCTGATCATTTTGGCCTTTGCCGTCCCCCACTGAGGCCCCCTTATGTACTACACTGGATTGAAAGACTGTTAAGTGAGGCCCAGGCAATCTGTAACATAATCTGTAAGTCTCAACTCTGTCTGTCTAGGATTAACGGATAATTACGGCAGGAATTAATCATCTGGTAGACAAAGGCTATCTTGTGCCATGTGGTGGAAAATCCCATTCGGCGTGGGTAAGCCGATCGGCGTTCGGCGTTTGTTACTTTTTCCAGCCACGTCCATTATTGGATTGTTTTTGTAATTACATCAACTGTCGGGAGTTTCTCCTGGGCGTTACAAGTGGGAGCCCAGTTAGCGTTTTATTCGGGTTAGCTACTCGGCGATTTTCGAGCCACATCGCCGTATCCTTGCTCCTCTCTTCGATCATTTTGAACATTGACTGTTAATTCGGAGACGACACTTAGGAAAGCTTTTCGGCTCTGCTCAATACTGTGCCTTGTTCTGTCTCACCCTGCACAGATATTCAGTGCAGTCTCATCAAAAGTACATCGTGGACAATATGGCTACTGAGGACGAAAATGGTGCTGTTAATAACAGCTTTATTGAGGAAGACCTGATTACTACAATAAACGAGAATCTCGATACGATCTTATCATACATTCCAACTAATACAACAGTCTCTATAAAAACGAAAGAGCGTACTCAGGCAAGGGAGGCGGCGGTGAAAATGCATGCCGCTGCCAATCAGATCTTCGGGGTCGTGCTTGCCCTCCACGAAAGGGTCAAGGCGCTCGAAATCACCGGCACCCAAAAACTTAAAAGCACATATTCAGCTGCCGTAAAGAAGAATCTAACACCGATGAGTCAGACCACAAAACTTATAACAGCCAAATCGGCCAAACTTGAAGGGATACACAATCCAAAAAATGAGAATCACGAGTTAATAATTTTGGCCATAAGGGAACCAGAGGAACCAACACCAATCCCCGAAGAGACAATGGGACTCCTACAAACTCATGTCGATCCCAAAAGGCTCGGAGTTAAAATTAAGACAGCGAGACCTCTCCCCAGTGGAGACATTAAGATACTGTTGCATGATGATACCGACCTCCAGACTCTAAAAAGTGCAGTCCAAAACCACGAAGCCTTAACAAATAAAATACAGATCGTGGAAAGAAATAAGAAATTGCGAAAACTAATCTTGTATAACGTACCTGATGACATTGAAGAAGGACACCTAACTCAGAACATCTACCAACAAAATAGCCACTTACATGAAGTTCTATCCGAAGACGAGTTTATCAACAGCACCAAAATTAAACACAGATTTCGCCCCAAAGGAAACAGCAACACCAGACATGTTATCTTAAGTGTCCAGCCAAGTATAAGAAACTTGCTCATGCAGAACCAAAGAGTCTACATAGGCTGGTCCTCAATTTTACTGGATGATTACATAGCAATTACCCGCTGCTTTAACTGCACTGGGTTTGGGCACACATCGCACAGGTGCACTGAGAAGCAACGCTGTACCCACTGTACAAAACGCCATAAATTCAAGGACTGTCCATACCGACAAAGTGAACCCAAATGCTATAACTGTAGACATTATAATAAGATAGTCCCAGCAAATAAGGCGGTTTCGACCGATCACAATGCCTTTGACAAATCATGCCCGATGCTTAAAAGGTATAAAGCAAGTCAGATTCAGACTACATGTTATGAATAATGGCTTCCTCCCAGGCTCTCAATATGGCTAACAACTGCATCTATAATCAGACTAATAATCCAACGCATCCAACAAAGGCTACCCTCAACATACTGCAAATAAACCTACAGAGGTGTCGGGCCGCCATGTCAAATACTGTCCAGACATCAGTAGAGCTGAATGCTGACATCCTCGCCTTCCAGGAACCCTACCTCTACGACAGAAAGGTCTCTCTGCTTGGCAGGGGGCGTATTTATACCTGGAGCAAGGACAACCAACTGATAAAGACAGGCTTTCAAATTGTCAACAATAACCTGAATGCCCAGCTGGTAACTCAATATTGTAACAACTATATCACTACCATCAGGGTTAGTTATGGCTCTCACCATTCGCTCATCCTAAATGTATATGCTCCACCATCAGAGGACATTCATCCCCCTCTAAATGCACTAAAACAGCATATAAATGAACTCTCTGCGAACCCAATCCTGGTTTGTGGGGATTTCAATTCAAAATCATCTGGCATAGCCCAGTCGAAGATACAAGGGGACATGCAATAAGTGAATTCCTCTCTGAAATGGATCTCCAGTCTCTGAATTCTAGCCAGCTGCCTACTTTCTCTAGCAGCACTGGGAAAAGCTGGATTGATCTGTGTCTCGGTAACCGAAACCTATTGAAATTTAAAATCACTTGCCAGACCCAAGGGTGTCTATCAGTGAGTGATCACGCTTACATCTTCACCAAAATCTCATTTGCAAACTGCCCAGAAAAATTAACAATTCATAATGTCACGAACTGGGACCTATACCAGGAATACATAAAATCCCACTGGGATCCCACTGATCTTACCTCAATCAATCAACCACAAGACATCGACTATGCTGTCGAACAGCTACAAAATGCTCTCCACAAAGCATACTTTCAAGCCACAAGAATAAAAACTAGTAAGCCCTCAGCCCCATGGTGGAGTCAGGAACTCACAACCCACAGGAAGAAAGTGCGTGTGGCTAAAAGGAAGTACAGGAAAGAATCAGAACCTATCAATAGGCAGGTACTATACCAAACCTATCAAAGGTATTTTAAAGAATATAAAACCCTGATCAATCAAACCAGAAGGAAATCATGGCAAAATTTTTGCAATGCCTCCAACGAACGGGGTCCCTGGGTAACCCCATACTACACAGCCATCAAGAAAAAGAAACCGCTCTCAACCCCAGCTACCATCGCAAACTCCCAAAAATATACCACCACTTTAGAAGACACCTATAAAACCATCTTCTCCGAACTGTTTCCTCCAGATAACCCCAGCACAGACACCAACTACCACAGTCAGATCAGGAAACAGAGTATGAACACCCTATCCAATGCTAATGACAGGCCTTTCACCACACAAGAAATCTCCAGGCAATTTAACAACATAAAAAAACGGAAAGCTCCTGGAACAGACTATATAGATTGGAGAATGGCTCAGCATGCTTACGCAGCCATTCCCACTACGTTCTCAGTCCTTTTTAATAAATGCCTAGACTGTGGATACTTCCCAAAAAAATGGAAGGAGGCCTCCATTAAACTGATACAAAAGGATAAGGACACCTCTCCAAATAAAGCAACTGACTATCACCCCATCTCCCTACTCTCTGTGGTAGGGAAGGTGTTGGATGCATTAATGGCTGACAGGATCCTACATCATTTAAATGCTAATAACATCCTAAACCCCAACCAATATGGTTTTATGAAAGGAAGAGCCACCCATCACACTCTAGAAAAGGTCATTACCTACGTTCAGGAGGCCAAACAAAAGGGGAAACACACAATCATAGTCAGCATCGACTTCAAAGGAGCATTTGACCGCGCCTGGTGGCCAGCCATCCTGGCCACCCTTGCCAGTGCCCATTGCCCTCTAAACATCTTTAAGCTGCTGACAAGTTATCTAACAGAAAGGTCCGCCCTTGCTGTGGAAAATGGTGAAGCCCTATACAGGACCACCATCACCAGGGGGTGCCCCCAGGGCTCAAAGTCTGGTCCACTCCTGTGGAACATTCTATATAATGGGATCCTAAACCTCACAAAAGACACCCCTCAAGATGGGAACCCCCATATTCAAGGTATGCTGATGATACAGTCATCCTCCTTTCATACCAAAACCAAGAAAAACTTCAAAATTATACTAATAACTTTCTGGAGGTGATCTATAATTGGAGCAAGGATAACAACTTAATAATCAACTATAACAAATGCTCAGCTATAGTTTTCCCTAAAGGAAATCCAT